ACAGAAGTACAAGAGCTTAGGGGAGAGAGATAGATTCACCAGGAACGGGAAAGGATAGGAGGAACTATGGTCATGCCCACCCAGTACCCATGGAGGTAGCAGGACTACAGTGAATATGACCCTAGATATCTGGGCTCCCTGCCTTGACAAAGATTTCCATGGCCACACAAGCCTCAGAAGCCCCAGAGCCACTGCAAGAGACTAAGTGAGCAATAAGTCTATCAATGTGGGCTAGTGTAGACTCTAGACTAGTGGAGCACCCCTGAATTTTCTCATCTGTAAAAGATACCTGGGACCTTTTTATAACCCCAATGGATGAATGAGGGAAGCCAGAATAATGATTAAGATTAAATGTCTCCTAAGACTGGCAGGATGGGAGTTGGAGTCTAAATAACAATTTTTGTTTGTTTGTGTTTTGCACATTCACGTTTGTGGAGTAAAACTCATAAATGCTTTTTACAACGTCAAATGAAGCCCCTATTTTTCCAGCTTGTCATATAATTTTAATTTTATTTGTAGAAAGAAGCTTTTCATTTTTGTGTAGTTTAATTTGCCTTGAACTTCATTACATTCATTTCCAACTGTCTCAATTTGTGAGACTCAACTTTATGGTGTTAACATGAATGCTTTTTAGATTTAGATAGATGGTCACATTTGGCATATATTTTAATGCCTACCTGCCCACCTGCAAGTCAGACAGACCATTTCATCTGCTAAGAAAGTGACTTCAGGGAATGCCTGGGATCTATCTAGTTATGGGAACATAATTTAACATTTTTGTTTGAAAAAGTACATTGACAAGACCCTTAAATATGTCTCAGGATACTACAACATAAAGAGTTAATCTTGCCAAAAAAATCACATTATATAAAACCACCAGTTGAAGGGCTTTTTTATTTTTTGTCTTGTTTTAGCATTATTAAACAATCTTTGTCATTACTCATGAGTCTTGGATCATAGTAGCCCTTATGTGTTGTTTTAAAGAGAAAATGTAAAAAGGATTTTAATAAAATGTGGTATGTGTATACCGTGGAGTTCTACTCAGCCACAAAAAACAATGGTGATCTAGCATCTCTTGTATTATCCTGGATAGAGTTGGAGGCCATTCTGCTTAGTGAGGTATCACAAGAATAGAAAAAGAAGCGCCATATGTACTCACCATCAAATTGGTATTAACTGATCAACACTTAAGTGCACACATAGTAGTAACATTCATTGGGTGTCGGGCAGACGGGAGGGGAGGAGGAATGGGTACATTCACACCTAAGGTGTGTGGTGCGCACCGTCTGGGGGATGGACATGCTTGAAGCTCTGACTCGGGTGGGGCAAGGGCAATATATGTAACCTGAACATTTGTACCCCCGTAATATGCCGAAATAAAAATAAATAAATGGACGCAATTATTCTATTAATCTATGTTTCAGGTTTGTGGGACAAAATCTTTTGAAATTACTCAAGATAGGTCCTGACCTTTTAGTCACCAGAACTCAGATGGTACTTTCATGCAACAAAAAACGGATTTGCGAATTTTAAGTGGTTGTAAATAAAATAGCACTAAGAACAATTCAGGCAAAAAAAAAAATGGCCCATTTCTCCCCTTCGACTCTCATTTTTATTGAACATTTTCTGTATGTTAAGCACCAAACAAGGCACTTTGACATATGGGGTGGCAAAGCTATAAGAAATGGTTAATCCCAAGTCTGATTTTATATTCATCTGCAAAGTAGGCTGTGGACTAGCTTCTGAAAATATAAATCCATATAGAATTAATTTTACTCCCTCTGGAATGATACTTTTTGAATCAGTTTGACATAGTTTTGAATAACATAAAATATGACATGTGCCAGTGCTTTCTGAAACATGTTTGACCTTAATTCATTAACTGCTACCATTCAATTTCTGTAATTAAAGAGTAGCCACATTCAATGGTTTTGTTATCTTTAGGAACCTAAGTATCCTCAAATCAGGGGTAAAGGCTCTATAAATATAAAATAGTGCTGTTAGACTGGATGGCAATTAGTGTTGGAAAAAGAGTACACTCCTTGGCTCACAACACTGTCACTTAAAGTAGCTGAAGTCATTGGGCCCTATAATAAAATCAAATGAATCAATTTTTGATTGTAATGAAACATTTTGAATTCGGCCTTTGAATATGTCCCGATATAACAGGATGTGCATTCCTCTAATGCTTCACGCCTGGAACCTGCTGAGGGAAGTACTGTACTTCTGGTCTCAAAGGAAGGACTCAGCTTTCTTGGCAACCTGCCATTACTCCATTTTCCATTTTCCACCATCAGCCTGCACTGAACCATTTCTTAAATGTAAGAGACTAGAAATATTTACTTCTCTCTGTGGATAGGGTTCCTCCTCTTTCCTCTCCCCTGGACTTGAAGATACTGGGGTGGGATGGGAGGGAGGGTAGAATTAAAACTTGCTTGGGTTTTACCCAAACTGTATGAGTCTGTGCCTATGTGTAAAGTCCCATATATTTAGAGGAAAATTAATCAGTTTCTAATTTCACCACTGTAGCCAGAAAGTTTTTCTTTAATTGGATTAATATACTCCTCTTTGGCCAGAATTCCTAATGCAATGATAAGCAGAAGCCCTAACATATTCCAATCAGTGCATTCCTGCATACTTTAAAGAAATCAATAGTCCTCGAATGAGTCCTAATTCTAAGGCATTAGACAAATACATTTCAATAATGACATCAACCATGGATTTTTAAAAATTTTATTTTGAGAGGTGAAATAATAATTCGTTGCAGATTTTCTGATGAAACAATTAGCAGTCTTGAAGATTGTTTCAACATTTTCTAGAATACAGATTGAATACACATTGATTTAAGTAGGCACATTTCTTGAAACAAATTAAAGAGTACTTAAAAGATCCCATTAAATTTGCGTGGCATTATTCCTAGTTTTATGGATACTGTCTCAACTAAATGAATCCTGGCAGAAAATACTTAGTGATTAATTTATCTAGAAACTGATAGCACTGAAAATATTAAAATGTATGCATTTTAATGATATGTGTACACACGTGTGTGAGAGTGCATGTGTGATTCTGCTTTGCTTGTTTTACTATCTTAATGATCATCCCTTCTTACTGTTTCCTCTGAGGATCTTACCTTACTTCAACTGATGTAATCACTCAGAAATTTTCTTATCAGCCCTTCTCATCCATCATTTTCTAATTTTAAAATACTTCCAACAATGCCTTTTTATTTTGGACAAGGGCTTTGGTGAAAAAACTAAATTACACCAAAATAAAGCGATACTCTGTTCCCAGTGCTGCTCACGACCTGCCAGAACTTTCATGCTTCCAATCACAGGGATAGGGAAACTGGCTAGTCAGAAGTCCCCCTCCACACTTCTGTGATGGGCTGGGGCATCCAGGCACTGCTGCTTTACATAAAGTGTAGATATAATTTCTTTTGTCTATTACAAAGTGCACTGACTATGAAATTTCATTTGTCCCTTTACTTTCTTGTTTCAGCTGGCAAAAGATGTAAAAGATTCCAGATGGATTTATATCTAAACTGGAAATAGTCATTGCCTATGAACCACTTTAAATATTTTCAGTCCTTTCTATTTGGCTACCCAACATTTCAGTCTCCCTTCTTGATATGTGCCCAGCTTCCCTTCTTTATTAACACCTATCATTTAAAGCTCAGTTACACACCTACAATCTCTCTTGCGTGGTTACTTTGGGATCTCTTTGTAAATTCAGTTCACTGTTGCCTATGTTTACTGAAATGACTGCCACAGAACACAATGGGAGTTGACTTGCTAAAATAGTTTACTGTCTTACTGCTTTAAGAATATGATTTTAAGATAAAACTTATTTTAAGCTTAACTTTGAGTAAATATGAAGAAAAAAATGAATTCTTAAAAGACTTGATTCTACACACTACTTAAATGAGAAAATTTTCTGAAATTCAAACATAGCAAGCTCCATTTGCTCAGCGATGAGGTACTTGCACAAAGTTCCCCATGGCCTTTTGGTGTACAAATTTATAATAATGAAGACTACTTCTAAGGAAATAATTTGACATAAAAGATTTTCTTTTTAAACTACTGCATTTAAAAAGTCATTTGAGTTGTAAACACTCAAGGATAAGCCAGTTTTAGGATCACATTATTGTGTCACAGTAACAGAAATGCGAATCACATTTATTTCTTTAATTCGTGGATTCAGGTTCTCCTAAATTCTCATTATTGAGCTACTACACTCTTGATATAAGTTGTTAGGAAAATCCAAATCTTCTTTTCTGGCACCAAGTACCAAGAAATGATGTGTGCTATCATGAAATCACACATAGTCAGCTGCTTTTGTATTTTGGTTAACCAGGTAGTTTGAAAATGATTATCCCACTAGTACTGTCTTCAGATTTTAGAAGCAGAACTAGAGGAATTATATTGAGGTATACTTTGTGGTAGTTCTGTTGCTTCTCCATTGCCCCAGAACTAACCATGGTATTGAGGATGGATATGCAGAAATTATGCTTTTTACCAGGTAGCAGTTATCATAGGTGACCAGACATCACCTATCTTTGGCGTCTATAACATATTTGGGTGATGGACTAGAATGACTTTCACTACTTTAATTTTGCAGACATAGAGAAATGATACAAGCTATATGTTTTGAAAATCTTTTCCTTTTTTTCACCTATAACATTAAGCCCCTACATCACTGAAATATTTTTAATTTCTGATTTTACAAAACTAGAAACATGAAAAACATAGGTATTAGCAAAGTTTTTTCATTTGTTTTATTGTTTTTGTTTAATAACTGAAGAGAAATTTTTATATAGTTTAATCTGGGATTGGGCAAATATTTAATGTTTTTTGATGGTCACACTGTTGGCCAGATAATAATTTTGATAAATCAACCAATCTTCTTATGGGTGTAGAATTTGACGCCTACTTTAAAGTATTAAAAAATGAATTTATTCTACAGTACATGTGTATAGGAGTTCAATCCTGTATTCAGGCTTGCAAGTGTATTATTTGGTGGTTTATAAAAACAGCTATTGCACATCTTTGGGGGATCTGAGGAAAACCAAACATCTGAAGCTTTCTTCCTTTCTTCTCATTGGGAGAAAACCAGCTTAATTTGGGGTGAAAAGAACACAACTGGTCTTTAACTGTGAGCTTAATTGTCATGAAGCAGTGAGGAAAATGGGTGGCATTTTCCTCTTTATCACTGTAGTTTTCTCTGGGCATGCAGGTTGTTCAACCTTAGTCTGGGTTATAACACAGTCCTTAAGATTTTTGTTTCATGATCTAACCTTTGGTTCTTTATATGACTTTGGAAAAATCACATATGGTTTGTCAATGTTTTTCTTTTTCAGAAAAATCTCACCCAGGGCCAGTTCTTTTTAAAGCTGCTTGTAATCTAATTCCTAACAGGATTCTTTACTCCATGTTGTAAAATCTGAATACAGATACTGTCCAAACTGTCCAAAGAGTAATGTTTGAATTCACAGTAACAAAAGTTACAAAGTTTGTGCAAAAGACATTGTACACCATTGCAGTACATAGAGCTTGCTATAGTTAATTTTATATATAAAGCTGCATTTCTCATTAAACTATTCTGTGCTACATTAAAAGTTTCTGATTTAATTTTTCACTAAAAATAAAACTGAATGCTCATCTAATCTCAGAAATCTGAAGATGCAAATTGCATACATGTGAAGTTGGTAAATGTTGCAATAAATCATTGGAAGCTTTTAAACACCATCGTTGCTTTGGAACTCTTCAAGTTTCCCAAGGGTCATGAAGTAAACCCGGCTGTGGCGATTGCGCAGGATAGAGGTAAAGAACAGCTTTAAAAAGAAAGAAAGACACTATCAGATATTTAAGACATTGTAACCAGATATTTGATATAGCTGTAATTTCAATTTATCTGCATATGCTAATTAAAATATTAAGCCTTACTGGTTTTTTGGAACAGATTTTCTTCAAATTAAAGGATAAAAGTTTAAATTAGTTTGGAGTTTAAATTATACATTTAAGAATAACCTTTTACCATATTCTACATAACGGTAATTTTTACAATTTAAATAAAATTAGGGGTTTTTTGTAGGTGGCATTCATCTGCTGAAGTTCTTAGTTTTGGGTTAATGATTCTTTGCTTTTTAGAACAATAATCTACTTTTATTCAAGCTGGCTTTTCTTTAAATATAAGGAAACAAATTATTCAGATATTGTTTACCATTGCTGCTTGTGTTTAAGAAGCCACTGAAATTTTCTACTTGGTGCAATTTTCTTTCCTTTTTTCATTATTTTAAAAAATTCCTTTAAAAATTTTAAATATTGATAGATAACATTGTAGGTATTTATGGTCTACAATATGATGTTTTGAGGAGGGGTTATGGGAGGGTTGGACATAACAGTAATGATGATGATAAGATATGGTAGCTACCCTTGACTTAACACATTTTATGTGTCAGGCCATCTGTGAGATATTTACTCTAGACACATTATCACTCATTTTCATGACTGTTCCCAAAGCAGTTATTAATATTCCCATTTTGGAGATGAAGGAACTAAGGGTCAGAAAGATCAATCAAACTTGTCAGGTTCTCAAACTTAGGAGGCAGAGCCAGGACTGCATCCTAGGTCTATCTTACCTGAAACACAGGTTCTTGCTGTTGCATCTCTTTACATTGGCACCTTTTCTTGGTGTACGTATGGTGCTTTATTCTGACTATTCTAATATTAACTTGAATCCTCTGTAGTCTCTTCTAAACATGATTTTTTCCTAATCTTATTAGGATTATTTTTTCCACACTATTTTTTTATTTCTCATAATATGCAGGAATGGTAATGACTTAATACAATGAAATTTTTCATCTAAACTATTTGTATTGGTAAAATTGATCAAATCACACAAATAATTTCCAAATCTTGATTTTATTTTTCTTTTCTGCAAAATGGACGTCATAATACCCATTCATGAAGATAAGCTGAGATAGCTGTTAAAGTACCTAGCACAAGGCCTACATGTAATTAGGTGCTCAGCAAACTGAGTACTTTTTCCTTCTGTTATTGGATTACACTGAAAGCGATGAAAGGCAGGTTTGCTCAAGCATTTTGTTTAAAAATATCATTTTAGTATGAACATAAAAGAGACTATGGATCTAAGACAATAAAGGATTTTGCACTAAACAAAATAACGGCTAAGCTTTGCCTAAGACATAACTGGAATTTTTACTTTTTTTCCAAAATGGGTTCTTTTTTTTAAATCAAACTTTATCACTTATCAAATCAATGTTTCTACTGCAAAATGTAAAATTGTTTTTATCAACAGTATGCCAACTTGAAAGATATAACACAAATATATTTATGGCCAGAACGAAAAGGACATACATTTCTTTAGTTAGTTAATTTTCAATAGTTACTTTACTTTTGCTCTAACTGGAGGGTATAAGCTATACCTTGTCACCTCGGGTACACAGAAATCTCAGCTTCTTAATTGACCTGCGCTTCAGCTCACTTTCCAGAACTCTTGATTGCGGTGAGCGCACTTCAATGGCCTTCTGGCCCCATCCTGTGGTTCGTTGTGTACACTCTAAAGCTACAGTACAAATGAAAAAATCAGAAAAACAAAATCTTTCCAGCAGTCATAGAAAATTATAACCACAGTCAACGTGATTATTTTTCATTATTAAGAGGCTCATTATTAGGGTTCAGGTTAACACAATCTTTTTTCCCCTTCTATAGTCAGTTATCTGACCATATTGCTGCTCAGGAGTGGTGCTCAAACCAGCTATTTAAAGGGTCCACGTGACCAACACTGAGTTATAAGATCTCAATTAATTCTTGTATTCATAATTCTCTAAGACCACAGAAAAAGCTAAGGGTTAATTCTCCCTCATTTATAGAAATTCAAATCTACTCAGTGCCATTCTTTATTTTATAGTCTAGCTGAGGTACAGTGTTCCTAATAAGGGTTTATATTTGTGCTCAAGTGACATACATAGAAACCTAACTCTTAAAAATCAAAATTATTAAAAAATGACTTGCTCAAACAATAACTATAGGAACCCTAATGGAATTTAATAAACTACCATGTTATAAGCAGAATGAAAGCTAATTTGATACTGTTAAGGCTCAGGAAATTTTTATTAAGACTTTAACTTTTTTGGCCCTGTTTTATAATAGCTAGTGGCAATATAGCTTATGACAATAATTTCCTTAAACCTAATTATGTAAACAGCCAGACAGAGGGCTGGTGCTATAAGGTAATTTCTGACACAGGGAGCATCATTACCATTAAACATTTAACTTTCAAGTTGATATTCTTTATGTACTTTAGGGGGAAACATTCCAAAAATGAACAAATTCTGACATTTAAAATAACATCAAGATTTTAACTCGAGCTGAAGAAGTCTAGAAAACAACAAAGACAATTTTATTCCCATATTAATCTGATTAAAATCAGAATTTAAATAATTACTTTTATTTTTTATTTTTTTATTATAAAGAGAATAAACTCTGCATTGATATAATTATAAGATAGGTTTTTAAAATTTTTTCCTTATCTTAAAAGTTCTAGGATGCCTTTCTTTAAACCAAAATTTACCTGGCCTATATATGTATACATTAAATATGCATAAAAGGACTCATGAATGAATTATTAAACATTTATAAAAGTGACTTTTCATAGGCATAGTGTGAGCCATTTTGAATCCCTCAACCAAAACTTACCAATCATTTATCTCCTGCCTCCTTTTATACTACAAATCAAAATATTTATGTGGATGAAACTGACATCAAAATTATAATTAAATTACAATTATATTTTGACTCAGAAAAACAACTGTTCTAGAAGAAGACTTTATAAGTCCAATTTCAGACTAGAATTAAAATCATCCCAGATGTAAGGGAAATAGGGAGAATCACTGGCCTGAGAGATGTGAATAAGTAACAGACTTAGTCTACCTGGATTTGAATTTTTTCACCTATGTGACTGTTCATTAAAAATGGTATTTTTGTCAATAAGCACACAGAGCAAAAACTTCTAAACTTAAACCAACGGTAATTGCTGAGTCCAAGTATGGCTCATATGGCATCACATAATTTCCACCTTAGTCCTTAAACACATAAATGTGCCACTTAACCTGGCTACTGAGTTAGCTTGCTTTCTGAGATGGGATCAAGTGATTTGGAAATGGGAGCACTTAGTAATACCAGCTGTGATTGTTAAATCTCTCTATATTTTTTTGGAAATTCAGAGCAATGATCTTATTCTTGAACACATTTATTATAGCTCAAGGAAATGTACAATTTTAAATTGGAGAAATCTACCTCTGGGTTAGTTTTAAATAACAAAGCAGTTGTTTTTAGACAGAAAAATAGAGTAATTGATTTTCTTAATATCAGTGTTATACTGTAGTCTTCAGTATATTCTCAAAATATCCTTAATGCACAAACTAAAATATCATGTTCTTACAGTGCTATAATTTATTTTAAGTATAGATGTTTTTCTAATTCTAGCAACTTAAAATAGCTTTTTGTTTTAGTTCAGAAGATGTCCTGCCTAAGGACAAGAGCTGTACCAGATGACTTTTCAAGATCCCTTTGACTCTTATGGTTGTCTAGTGGCATAAATATAGCAGTTTATTCAGTTTCCCATTTGAACTGAATTTCCTTATTCCCATTTCTGATTAACATATCGATCACAAAAGTACCACCATAAAGGCTAGAATATGATTCATTATTTTTACGTTCTTTTGCCCCAGATCTGTCAATTATATTGTATGTATTTACCTTCTGTCACTTAAAATGGTTTTAAACCCTCTGTGAGTTCTTACCTGTTTGTAGAAATTGGAGCAGGTTTTCAGGACAATCCTTAACACTGACTATGTATGCAAAAAAAGAAAGGATTCTGCAGATGCAGTGCAAAATGCCATCATCCCATATAAAAAATGTTCACTAAAAAGCAGTTCTTTCAAACTGGTCCTTAAAGCCACGTGAGGATCACATTTAGTCATCTTATAGAGATTTCACAGGCTTCTGGCTTCTCTCTTACCAGACCACCTTCCTCTCACTCTACACAGACAGACAGACACACGTGCGCGCGCGCGCATACGCACGCACACACACACACACACACACACACACACACACACACACACACACTGCTGCCTTTCTCCTTTATTTGCTCCATTAAACTTCTCCTCCTTTCAGGAATAGCTATCCTCCATCCAATCAGTCTACTCTCTCTAATATTTTTACTTTTCATATGCATTCTGTTCCCTATCTAGAACTACCCCTGTAGTTACCAAGCCTCAGAAAAATACATAAGAATCTCAAATTATTTGGATGTCCTAGCTCAGGAGGCCTGCATTGGTTAGGAAGAAAAAAAATGTCCCAGTCTGATGAAGATGAAAAGGCAGTTTTCTTTGTTGCCAGCTAGGTGGTACCTGATAGGCATCCTAGTCAGTCATATCTATCTCTTCTCTAAATGATTTGATTCTTCACAGGAATATCACTCACTAAACAGAACACTATTGACTACACAAAATAGAAATGTTTTGCTTTTCTTTTACAACTGTTTGGCAGTCTCCTAAGATAAAGGTAAACCTCCAAAATCAATGTGGTGAAAAGAAGCATTTTCAACATCTGTGTAAAGTCTGCAAGCAAAGGGAGTTAAAACAAAATTACAGATTATTATGGAAAGGAATTAGCTCCTGTTTCAATTACATAATATTGCAAATAAACAACTCAGACAACCAAAAGGAGTCTCTTTGTGGTCCTCTCATGAATTCATTAAACATACGACAAACACAGGAATTAATTTACTAGGGGAATAAATATGCAGGACCCCAAATTAACCCTATGTGTCTTGAGAAAATGTAATAAATAATTCAGGAAACCTTTTCTTAGGACACATTTTTTTACCCTTGAAAAGTTTCTCTGGGATCATATGAAGGACTAAGAAATTTTATACATACCCACAGAAGATGGTATGTCTCGCCACACTTCAAGGATCTTCTTGAAGAGTTGTTCATTTTCTTCCACTGAGAGGGCTTCAGCATTGAAGGTAAGCATCATGCCAATTCCCAAGCAATCAGGCAAAATGATGATATTCTGTGGTATAATGATTTCCAGGGGCTGGAATTATGTTTCATAAAGATTTATGTGTCCAACATTTTATCACTACTACTTTAATTGAAGCAGCTTGGCTGAGCAATAAAGACCAAAAGAGGTTCAAAGCAGAAGGAGGAAGAGAAACCTCTATTTCCAAATTAATGAGCACACTACCCAACATCCGAAAAGAGCTGCTTCCCTTATGTCATCAAGTCATATATGTTTAATGTTCTCCTTTATATTTAGGAAAAAGCCTCATTTAAAAAAAAGCAGAGATATATTTCCAACACAGAGGAATTTTTTGCAATTTCAACAGTATTATGTATAGTGATAGAAGAAACATTACGTGTTACAGACTTGAATTTAAGATTCATTTCAGCACATTAACAAATACTTTAGTAATGAATGTGCAGACCAAGCAACAAATACACAATCCTTGGTTATCAGCCAATTCATTCAAATCAGAAATAGAAAATTAACCTAAAGACAGCTTGAGCTTAAAATCCTTACAAGGAGTAGCTTTATAATATTCTTCATAGCTTTAAACATAACAGTCATCTCCCCTTTGCAAAAAAAGGTAGGATTACTTATCCAATTAATATCATTTTAAAATATATTTAATACACAAATTCAGAGATGTATTAGGTGACATAATATGAAATACGAAGAAATACCTAAGCATTTCTAAATTTCATGATACATAAAATAATGTGACAAAATGTGTTTAAACTACAGATATTGTCACATCAACAGTATTTCCCTGACAAATGAAGAATTGTTTTCCTCTATTGTTTCTACAAATTAGCAAGTTACAAAAAAAGGTCAGAAACTATACTTGCCAAACCCAGCGTACTCAGGCCAAGTGCTTGAGGCCATGTCTCAGCAACAACAATCCTTAAAACTAAAATGGGGATCCAGAGGCGAAAAGCAATTTTAATGCGTTCCCTGGGCACTTGCATGAGCAATTGAATCAGAAAAGAGATGAAGAAAGAGGGTAAAAGAAATTGCAAGAAAGAAGGTTGTCTCAGTAAAATCTGTTTAGAATAAAACCGAATGGCTACAAATCCAGACAGCTTCCAAGGTAATTCTCTTGCTTCTCAGATGATTCCTGAAGTAACCAGATATTCTTTAGCACACATAGTTCCGTTGTAGCATTACAGCTTTTGTAATCTAGCACTCTTGGAAAAATATTATTTTTAGTACATTCTGTTTCAGAAGACACCCTCCCCTCCCTGATATAGCAGTCCTTTCTCTTTTAATGGGTCAAGACACAAGAGCATTTAGCTAAAACTATTTTTAAATGTATACAGAGGTATTCTAATTAGGTCAGAAAATGATTTTTAAAAGCTCATCTTTCATTCTAGCTTCCACTGTAATTAATGAATTGCTTCAAAAGGAAATAATTTTCCTTGCTTATTAGTCAGGTTGAACACAATGTTGAACCTTCTTGAATGGCTTTTCAAATAAGTATAAACTTGGCCAATGCCGCAATGTTCAATATTACACTAGATTCTAAATAAAGGCTATCTGACACAGTATTAAAGATGCAGGAAGCTACGGAAGACAATCTAACTGAAGAGTAATACAATATTTGTATCAAAATTAACCTAACCTCATATCTAAGTGGCTTTGGCTGGGATTAGTTCAGTATTTTCTACATTATCAACAGAGTGATTTCTATACAATCATGAGCAACAACTGGATGATAAGCTAATGATTGCTAACATGACCAAAAGACTTAAAAAAATGTTTCCACTAACATCCTGATTCCTGATAATCGGTTTATGTAATCTGTTAGAGAAGTATAAGATAATTCAGAAAGCTGTTCAAAATATCACACAACTACAGTGATTTAAAAGTACCTAAAAGTTTTCTCCTGGACTTTTTGTATAATGCGAAATTGATAAATTTTGGTTGTATGCAAATTGGGGATTTAAAAAGGGTAAAGCAGAGAACTGCTGGCTCAGGCCTTCCTTTTAAATATAATTTTCAATAGGATAGACATCATTTCTACTATTAAATTTTAGACACAGTGGAATTAAATTTTGTATGGTTGTGTGTGTGTGTATTGGGGGGATATTATATTTGAGCTCTTTATAGAAATGGTATGTATAGTATTTTTGTCACTATCCATATTTTAGATGCTATGCTATATTTTCAATATATATAATTATTTAAGAGTTAAGAGTCGAGGTACATTTGCTTTTAAAATGGTGAATCCTTTTATCAGAAATTCGAACTATAATTGATATGATAAGAGAACATTTTACAATAATTTTCTGCATGTCACAGTTAAAGTAATACAATAAAGAAAAAAGATACAAATAATAATGCTGCAATACTTGTGTTGTATTTAAAAAAAATCTGTTAATGCATTATGGGATGCAGAAGAACTAAAAGCAAGGACTACAAATTCAAACGCCTTGTAGGGCTAGTTATTGTAAGTGCGTAAAGATGGATGAATAGAGAAAGTAGCGCACATATCCCATCTAAAAGGAGGCAGGCATGCATCAGTTCCAGTAGATAATGGCCTGATATTGTCAGGTTTTCTTGTTTATCAATAGAAGTCCAGATTTTAAATGTAAACTTTATTCATTAAAAACAACAACAAAAAAAACCACCCTACAATGCTCATGGATTGGTAGAATCAATATTGTTAAAATGTCCATACTATCTAAAGTGATCTACAGAATTAATGCAGTCCCTATCAAAATACCATCATCATTCTTTACAGATCTACAAAAAATAATTCTATGCTTCATATGGAACCAGA